CAAATGTTTGATTTATTATGTTAGCTTATTTTGTGGATGGATTGCCCTATAGCTTGTTTCAATCACGGTTATAATTATATTTTAATCGAGCATGAAATTAGTCTTCACAAAAAAAAAATTTGACTCAATTTTCTATTGAATATCTTTGAAATAAAAATTCACTCTATACGCCAAAACAAACTAGCATGACTCAAAATTATTTGTAGCAGTCTATGTTATCCACCTCCATTTGGTAAATAATTTAATTGGCATGGAAGTTTGCAATACAATATTCTCACTGTCTCAAAATTATTGTTCACTTTAAAATTTACTTTTAGTACAATTTTAAACTAAAAATGAAAATCCATACTGGACAATGATTTCAGGACGGAGAGAGTATCATTCAAACTTAACATGATGCGCGCTTACAGTTTTATTGATCATGCAATTTGCATTCATTTTTCTAATATATATTAGAATCGTTGGAACTATAATAGTAATGTATGGTATTAAAAAAGTTGCGTTGAATAAAAACGCACTTGATTTTGCCAAGTAGAGGAGGAAGTAAGCAAAAAGATATCTATTTTCAGAAAAGCTAAAAAAGAAATCATTTTTAAAAAAATTTTAAGCCAAACAAACAAAGTCAACAGTGCGTTAAATTGTATGTTTGTTAGTAAAAAGGAAAGAAACAAATTTGGATGAGTCTTGAGAAGAGGAGAATTTTTTTAGTTTTTATTTTTTGAAAGAGAAGAGGAGAATTTCAATTGAATGAGAAGGGAGGAGAATGCACGTGTAAAGGCGCACTTTTCGTGATGTTATGGGATTGCATTTAAAGAGTGAGTATATAAATATATTTTGTCGTTAGGTTTTTTACAGTTTTGAGGTGATCACTGACCTCTCTCTCTCTCTCTCTTTCTGTATCTCTGTGGGTTTTGGTCAGGTGATCCAACCTTGTGTCTCGTCGAAGTACATAATGATTCATTTACACCACACTCCCTTTTTTAATCCATTTTTTTGTAGAAAAGAAAATTAAAAATTGCACTTTCTAAATAAAAAACAATTCGGCAATGTCCCACCTCAACCGTTTGTCGCAGCCCACGCGCAGCGAGTTTAAAATGGCCTCTGATATTTGGACTTTTTTTTTAAAACTTTTGGACTTTAGCGGTAAATTTGGTCAGTGATTTCTTGGAACTGAAAAGTGGAAAGAGACCTCAATTACGGTCATGAGAGTCAGAAAATGTTTGCGTCCTTCTTTCAAATGGTAAAACCCATTCAATTACGACATTAATATATAAGAATTTTTTGGTTAGACCTTCCTATGCACGTACAAAAATGTACCTTTGCTAATAAATTTGATATGGTACAGTGAAATGTGAATGGGATAAACAAAATTTCGGGTTCCTGTTTGCTAAAAGAAAAAAATCAAATTGATTGTCTTCTTTATTAAATTTATCCGGCTTGAAATGATTATCAAATTTGAATTATATTTTTTTTTATACAATTTGTATTAAAGTAACTATCAAACTAAATACTCGTTTTAAAACATAGGAAGATATTTAATTAAACAGTTAAAATATCTATTTTGAAATATAGATAATGTCAAACCATTTTAAAAATGTTTTGCTTTCAGGCTATATTCTATATTTTATAATGTCCAGTGGGGATACTTTAATTAATACTCTGGTTTTTTTCTCATGATACATCTACCCTAATCTAATGCAACAAGTAAAGTAATTAAAGATATTAGAAATTATTTGTGAGCATAATGTCAAAGTGGTCCGATATACTATTCAACTGCCCCCAAGTGTTTCAATGGGTGCAGAATGTTTATGGTTGGGGAATAACTACTGTACGTGCGTATTCAAGTAGTGAATTTTATTACACCATTCCATTTCTTTTTTTGGGGTGGTAAAGAAGCATAGTAAATTATACAGTTGCCTTTACAGGTTGGCATATTTTTAAAAATGCTTTCACAATGATGAAATGATATTTGCAGTAGTTGTATAGTCAATTGGTTGACATTTGTTACCCAATGATGGAGGGTTTTTAATCCATCAGACTATAGTGTGAACTTGCCTTTTAGCTTCCTCTCATCATTGGAACGTAGTAAATTACAAGACACAACAAATAAACATAATTAATGATGCCCACAAAGATAATCAGCTCACTGACTCAAAAGATCCCGTGTTTTTGTTACTTGAAATTTAGTTATAAAATATTCTGTAATTTGCAAGAAATTTTTATAGTAATCTTATTTTTTTTTAAAAAAAAAAAGCAATAAATGAACGATAAAAGTGTATTTGAATAGTTGAGCGAATTTTTTTTTTTTAAGAACATGGAAATAAAATACTACTTTCGTCCCACAAAAATAGTACACTTTTAAATTTGTACTAAAAAACAGTATAAAATTCAAATCTCAATGTGGCATGTTTTTGTGGGACGGAAAGAGTAGTAATTATCTTTTTTTAAAAAAATTATTGTTTTCTATGATTTTAAAGAGGAATAACCAATTATGGATGATTGCTACATGTACGCGCATCCAATACAAACCCTCGTACGCACATTGAAGCAAATGATATAGGATTCGAATATTGGAATTGGAACAAGGTAGGGTGGGTACCCGAACGAATCGAATTAGTATAGAATTTTTGTGTCGAGTAAAGCACTTTGCAATTATATGTGATGTTTCTGTTCATATTAAAGCAGTATTAATTTAATGTCTCTTTCGGTTCTCTACATTGTTCGTGGTCCGTCTATCTCATTTGTAAGGTTGAAATTTCGGTGCATCATATAATTTATGATAATTTTGATCTAATATTCTCCGTATTATAAGTATGTATGTTCTTTATACAGTAAACAATTTATAAATTTTAAAAGAAAACTTAATAAATAAAGTTGAGACCGTGAAGTTAAAGAATAAATGAGTATACAAATATAATGCGTTATACTAACTTATAAGAGGAGTATGAATATAATGAAAATGCGATGTCAGATTCTTTAAAAATGTTTGTATCTTTGTACGGTCGTATCACTCTTTTATATTATTATTTTTATATTATATTGTTCATCCGTCTTCTCTTTCTAATTATTTTATTCTATAATAAGATATAGGTTGATAAATTCTGTTTCTAACATTAGGAGACATTTGTGATTTTCTCACTACTCACCAGCCTATATCTATTGTTCTTACTTCCTCCTGTTCTTGGTACGCATTTTTAATTGATAAAAAAGATCTTAAAAATATTTCATAACAATGGAAAAAAATACAACGAATGTGAAAATATATTTTTAAAGTTTTTTTATTAAAAATACATATTAAGTGAAATAAAGGATAAATCAAAATTTCTTATATTAATGACCGGATGGAGTACATATTTCATCAAAAGAATGTTATAAGATTTTTTACATCCTCAATCTCATAAAGACAATTCGCGTTGTATTTACAATGTAAATTATTTTAATTAGACGTATTTTACTGGAACCACGTTTGTATTTATTAATTCTCATTTGAGTGCCAAGTACAATTATTAAGTTAAGAAAAAAAACATTCACACGTAAAATGCTACTTTCCCCGGTCCCTTATTTTAATTTGAAATACTAACTGTTTAATTTGAACCACGTTTATTTGACGACGGATGAGCACAGTGACGCAATATCAGTTTGGTTGTGGTTTTAGTTACGAGTTCACAATGATGTTAGGTCTATACATGAATGCGGAAAGAGATGGTTAACTGTTTAGGTTTTCTAATTCGGATGTAAATCCGCCTCTAAAATGCTTTTTTTTTTTTTTTTCCAGATTATCGGAATGCAAGGTGGACGTTTGTTGTTGGATATGTAAAGTCTTGGGTTTGGGTATTAATTTGCGACATTAGAGGTCCAAAGCCAAACCAGAAAATCGGTAGACAAACAAATGTAAGAGAATCGACGAGGTTAAATTCATAAAACAAAGATCAATAATTTTAGTTTTCTCTTGTAGAACTAATAATGCAACACCTTTAGATAAATGTGGACTATTTAATACAGGCATATAGCAATGCCATTTTGTAAAAACCAATAAACTAAATACATTTACTACTCCCTCCGTCCCATAATTATTGTCCACTTTGACCAAAAAATTTTGTCCCAAAATTATTGTCCAATTTGACTTTTTATGGATCAAGTTACACATTTGCCCTTAGTAAAAAAACATTATACATAAAACTTTAGTGGTTAAACAATTACTTATGTATGAGTATATCCGGTTGTTTAAGGTAAAATATAGTTAAGTTTGACAAAAAATAAAATCTTTCACTTTAGTAAAACTGGACAATAATTATGGGACGGAGAGAGTATATTATACGAGTACGTGACTGCTAACTGTTTGATTTTTCTAAATCATATGTACCAAAAAATAAAACAAAATATTGAAAATAATAAGTATTTTTTAGAGGACTTTACTATGCTCGAATTTGGATCATGACATTTACTTTTGGACAATAAATACTATATGGAAAATAAAAAAAACGTGAACTGATATCTCCTCTATAACACTGTATATTATTCTTTCGTTCCAAAATTATTATTTACTTTGAATTTTTATTTTTAGTACAAATTGAAATAAAAACGAAATTCTAAATTGAATAATAAATTTTAGGACAGAGTGAATATGTATTCTTTATTGAGAACTATAAATGATTTTTTAAAAAAATCTACCCCCAGTGTCATTTTATTTAGAGAATCCAGTAAGTTCTAAACTCTCTTTACTGTTACGTTATGAAATACTGGTATACTTCTCAACAAATCGTTCAGTTCTAACTTTTTTCTTGGTCCTCTTTGTTAATTCTATCTATGAAGTATGAATTCTTCTTTTCTTCATTTTATTTTGGGGTTTCCTTAAATTAATTAATTATCATCCGTTTTTTTGTGCAACTATTTGTTGTGATGTTTAAGCATGATTAATGTGGAAGTTCGTCAGTTACAATATTAGGAGGAGCCAGCCGCTTTGACATCATTTCAGATTCCTCACTTTCTCACACCCACTAAAAAAAAGAAAAAGAAAAAAGAGAGAGAAGGTAAGAAGCAAAATCGAATGCGTAACACGTGCATAGTTTGGCGCGTGAATTTGAAAGTCATTGGCCCAGCTGGTAGCGACACGACGGTTTATCCAAAAAGGGAGCTGTATAATTACTACTACCTCATCCATCCGTTCATTTCGATGGAAACTTTTCAGCGGGACCCATTCTTCGTTTGATCTGACGGCTCAGAATGAGTAACACCCGCGTAGATGAATGCGTACATCGAAGGAATTTCCCCTCAAATTAATAACCCACACACAAACAAAAACCACAAAAACTGGGGGGAAGAAGAGAAAATTCACTCAGCCAGTTGGAAACCTCATCTTCCTCCTCTCTTTCTCTCTCTCTCTCTCTCTAAAACTAGCTTCTCAGTTTTCTTCCCTTCATGTTATAATGACAAGAATCAATCCGATTGCTTAAAATCCAAACTCCTTAACCCCACACACCACCCTGATTTCTTCCTTCTTTTCTCTCTGCGAAGCCTTTCTAGTTGAATTTCTATTAAATGCATATTATTAGTGGTTTGGGTTGGGTTGCTTTCTGGTGAGATTGACAGAGAGAAAAAGAAAGCATTTTTTTCCCCTCATAACTAAGCGAGTGATATTGTTTGTTTGAATAAGGGATGGCGTCGGGGTTCTCCGCCGGTGGAGGACCGGATTTTTACACCGTCGGAAATGGAATAAATAATGGAAGATCTGCCTCCATGATGTCCATCAACAATACTCCACAAGTGCCGTACCGGTCGACTCTAGCCGGAATTATTCCTGACCCGGCTTCTCACTCAATTAATCGGCGTTCTGATTTGAACGGAAAACGATCTCTGACGGAGTTTCAACAGCAGCAACACCAGCTACTTCAGCAACATCAACAATTTCAGTTTCAACAGCAGCAGCAGCAACATCAGCATCAACAACAAATGGTGGGTTTAGGCGCGCTTTATAATAATCTTCGAAACGTGAAGCCCAGAGTTAATTACGGGCCCATGTCTTCGTCGCCGATATCTCCCCTGTCGCCGGTAGACCTGTCATCTGCGGTTTCTTCTCTCTCCCCTGAATTGTCATCCATTTCAAGTTCTTCTCTGCCGATGAATTCTAGGTTTGGGCTACCGATTCTCCAACAACAATTGCGCCAGCAACAGCAACAACTGCAACAACGGATGAACAACTTGGCCGCTAATTCTCTTGCAAATGGAAACATCCTATATGGCACCCCTAACCGATTCTCCTCTCCTACTATGAACGGTAGCATTTCGTTTCCGAATTCGGGTCACCTCCGGCGGCCAGCGGCGACGGTTATGCCTATCACTACCATGGGGATGAGTGGACAACAATTGCTCACACCGGCAGAAGATGAAACAGCAACGGAGAAGAAGATGTTGAATAGGCTTCATGAATTGGAGAAAGAGCTCCTAGATGATGACGAAAATTGTAGCGGTTCTGGTAGCGGTGACGCCGTCTCCGTCGTCACGAACAGCGAGTGGTCTGACACAATTAATAACTTGAATTTGATCACAACAAATCCAAACCAAAACAAGGCGGGCATTTCGCCGTCTCCTACTTCCTCATCGTCTTCCTGCTCATCAACATCGGCTTCTCCGCCGATAATTACATGTCCCCGGCAGTCCATCTCCGATGTTGCCACAGCCATCTCGGAGTGTAGGATGGATGCAGCGGTTGAGACTCTCACGCGCCTCACCCAAGTCTCCAACTTCAAAGGCACCTCCGAGCAGAGGTTAACTGCATATATGGCTTCAGCTCTACGCTCGCGCGTAAACCCCACGGAGTACCCACCCCCTGTTTCTGAGCTTTACAACAAAGATCACGCCGTGTCAACGCAAATGCTGTACGAGGTTTCTCCTTGCTTCAAGCTTGGTTTCATGGCTGCGAATCTAGCAATTCTCGAAGCAGTATCTGAGTCAGACCAGCTGAAGGTCCACGTCATCGATTTTGATATTCAGGGCGGGCAATACTTGCATTTGCTCCACGCGCTTGCGGGGAAGAAAGGCGCAGAGAAACCGGCGGTTTTAAAGATCACCTCTTTCGTTGATTTCGGGAATGGGGAGGAAAATAGGCTGAAGGCGGTTGGAGATGAACTTGCTGGGTTGGCCAAGAAATTAGGAGTAACCTTGTGTTTCAACGTAATGAGTTTGAAGATAAACGAATTGAGCCGTGAAAAGATCGGGGTTGAACCGGATGAGCCTTTGGCCGTGAATTTCGCTTTCAAGCTGTACAAATTGCCGGACGAGAGCGTGTCCACTGACAATTTGCGGGATGAGGTCCTCCGGCGAGTGAAGGCACTGTCGCCCAAGGTGGTGACGCTGGTGGAGCAAGAGATGAACTCGAACACGGCGCCGTTCGTGTCGCGCGTGAACGAGGCTTGTGGATATTACGGTGTATTGTTCGAGTCGCTGGATGCGACGGTGGCGAAGGATAGCTCTGAGCGAGTCAGGATAGAGGAAGGGCTGGGTCGGAAGATGGCTAACTCGGTTGCGTGCGAAGGGAGGGACCGTGTGGAGAGATGCGAGGTGTTTGGGAAGTGGCGGGCCCGGTTGAGCATGGCTGGGTTCGAGCCCAAGCTCGTGAGTCCACTCGTCGCTGACTCGCTCCGGTTCAAACTCAACTCGGGGCCACGTGGCAACCCAGGCTTCACTGTCAATGAACAATCCGGCGGTATCTGCTTTGGTTGGATGGGACGAACACTCGCCGTCGCATCTGCTTGGCGTTAATCCTAATTTGTTCTTCATTTTTAATGGGTTGTGTCTTCTTTTATTTTATTTTTTCCTTTTCCAATTTTCTAGAAGAACGTATTATGATTATGATTATTATTAATATTATGAATTAGTATTAGTAATTTCTCCTATTAATTGTGAAATACTACGAACTAGTCTTCATGTCAGTTTTTTTGCTAATTAATTCTACGATTGTACTATATAATGTAGCCTTTTTTCAATGACAAGAAGAATTGGGTTTAAGATCCACAAAAATTCCGAAATAAATTCTTATGATGAACTGTTTGGATTCCCAGAGTGTCTGCAATTTTCTTCTGCTGCTAATTGTCTCTTACTTTGTCGTGGCTTTGGATCTTTGAAATTTGGGGGATACAAAAGTGGAGTTTGGCATTCTGCTTCAGCTGACTCTCTCAATTGAAGTGTCAAAGAAAATGTGGGGTAAACACAGGGTTAGATTGTATATTGGTTATGGTTGGTCTCAAATTTGGTAGTTCTTTAGTTGGGTTGATTACGTGGTTGCTTCCCATTTGATTGTCATGGACCACGAATTGTTTTTTTCTTCTCTCTCTCTTTAGGTTCTGAAAGAACCTGGAAATACACATAATAATACATTCTGTATCTGATTTTTTTTGGTTGTGTGTATGGGTCTTGAGTAAAGAAATGCAAATTTTTTTTTTTTACACCAAAGTGGTTGTGGTGGAGTGAAAGGAACTCCTCTACCTTTAACCATATGTCGAGGGTTAGAATCTCGTCATGAGTATGGAGTAACTTTAAATATTTTGGCTAGTCGGTTCGAACCTCGTCATGAGTATGGAGTAACTTTAAATACTTTGATTAGTCCCACTCTCGTAATGGGTATGAAGTAACCTTAAATACTTTGGTCAGTTGTCCCACTAATTGAGGTGTCTATAATTTAGTGAGGGGGATTAATCATCGTTGACGAAAGTGGACAACCTATAAATATGAAAAAAAAAAAATGCATTTTTTGCTTTTGGGGAATTCACATGATTGGGTATGGAATTTGGTATGGTTTGCATACTCATATTATTAACATGGTTACCAAACAATTTAATCAAACGCGCGCAGGCCACACAGTCTAATCCTTTGAATTTACACCTCCGGATTTGACTTTTTAGAGGTTTTTTCTTTTTTTAAAAAATACATTCCAAGATTTTGGTTTGGTATGTACATATTGTATAATCTACTATAGTATTTAATAAAATTCATTTTTTATTCGTTCATACCACAACCAAAATCAACATGCTTAAATTTATTAGTTCTAAATAGACTATAACAATGATGAGTCAAGGAAAAATATTATTTTAAAAAAGGGGAACAATATGGAATTGCAAGGCCTTTTAAGCAAAGTTGTTTGTAATTAGGTGTTTTTTGTTGTTACTGACTCCTTCCCTATTTGGTTAAGTAATCACTATGGATTCAATACCACCCACAATCAACGTTCTAATATCGTCACTGTAATCATTTTGGTTCCAACTTTTAACTGTTATAGAAGCAGGAGTGCGGAAACCCACAAGGGCTGCTTTTATCATGCTCCTAATTCCTTCAACTTTTCTTATTCTAATTTCGGGAATTATAGTGTGGTTGAGTGCACATTTTCGGGGGAAAAGTTAAGGTTTTAAACTGGTAAAGAATATTGAATTTAGGGGGTTGGGGGGAGAAAAACGCAATTACTGCACTGAATTTGCTTCTTCTATTCTTCATTTTTGACCTTTCATTTTAAAAAAAAAAAATGAAAAAAATTGTTCCAACTTTTAATTCCTTTCACGTGGTGCGTTTAACATTAATGCATTTCTCCAAACTTGGGGGGGGGGGAGATCATGTGATTTTGTTTATTTCCTGCCATTCTCCTAAATTTGTGTAACACGAATTTCAACTGTTTATAGCCCCGGGGTCCTTGGAAGTCGATTTTTGGGGGTGAGATTGTGAAATGAAATCATGAAAATTATCAAATTTTTGAGGTTGACAGGCTTCGGACTTTCCTTGAGATCGAACCTTTGTGTCAAGATGACTCACTTGGCCATACAATGTGGTCCTTTTTGGCTTATTTTTATTTCATTTTCTTTCCGTGACTTTCCCCCTTTCCCATTTTATAAATGAATTTATATAGAGAGATCCTCCTAAGTCTGAAAATGAAAAGTATCGTCATTTTTTAAGTCGGAAAGGGTTTTGGAAGCTAATGCTCGTAGAATAAAGGAGATCATAGATATACAATAATATTATTAGTTTGATGACCAAGTCTCTTAATTTAATATACTTTTAAATTATTCTGTTCTTATTATGAACTTTCCTTGTGGTGACTCGCATAAAAATATATAATAAATACTTTTTATGAATTTTTTTCCTACTGCTTAAGAAATACAATTGGAATATAATTTGTATATCTATATGTATGGTGGTACATCAATTATCTAGTCATTTCACTGAAATAAGTTCAACTTTGTTAATCATTTAATTTGTTATATCACTATGATACCTTAACCGTGACATCCTTTGTCTTGTTGTTTGGTACTGTATGGAACTTGGCCTTTATTTAAATGCTACAAACAACTAACTTTGCTCCAAGTGTAAGGCTGTCTTGTAATCCTATATTCCATGAGAAGTATATATGTCGAGTGCCCAAGAGTCTCCCAATACAATTTTTGTTCTGCACGGAGATTTAAAGATGCTGTGTTGATAATTTCAGACATTATTGTTACTAATATGGTTACTGTCTTTGAGCTATTCACTAAATCTTAGTCATGCGACAAATGCATCTGGCCACGAGTAATCATCATGAGATTTCGATACTAAATATTTGGGGAACACCCCCCCAAAAAAAAAAAACCCACAAAATTTTACTTATCTAGTATCTACTAAACAATCATTATACCATGGTAAAATGTGGAAGATACATGCAATCCACATAAGAAATGCCTAAACTGGATGTATTTGAACGTTTAACTGCTGATGACAATTTACTTTCAAGTTACAAAGATACCCTAAATCGTAAAAACAAAGAGTGAAGAAGTAACTGTAAATGATGCAATAATTGGGAAAGTTGTATTGGGTGCGGTTGGAACAAATTCGATAGGTCAGAAGTAATGCACGAGAGTTATAGTAATAGGTTGGAGTGATCCGACAGAATTATGAGATTCATATTGAGCCAACTACATTGTGGAGAATGTAAGAATCTATGTAAATAGTGATTCATTTAATACCCATTTAATTTTTGCCCACCGAGGAAGAAATCAGTACCATAGTATACATCGGCAGATGAAGAAAATGACTTCCATTTTCCTTTATTTTTTTTTGGTAATAAAGTTTATAATGTTTGTCACAGATAAAAAATGAGTAATAAGTTGGAATGATAAGTAAATTTATTCACCAGCTGGAAATGATACATGGGGAGAAAAAAAAATAAAAAATTATAGCGCATGCTCACTGGGCCAGGCCCAATGATAAATTCCCTTAAAGGGGCCGAAGAATGTAAAAAAAGCATAGGAAAGCGACTTGTCGACTATAACTCTGCTATGTACATTCTGTCAATTAATTCCCTTCATTCTTTTCTTTCACTCATTTTTCTATTGCCTCCTCAATTTTTTCTTGTACTTCCTCCGTTCCATAATTATTATCCACTTTGCCCAAAAAATTTTGTCCCAAAATTATTGTCCAATTTGACTTTTTATGGATCAAGTTATACATTTGTCCTTAGTAAAAAACATTATCCATAAAATCTTAGTGGTTAAACAATTACTTATGTAGGGGTATATCCGGTTGTTTAAAGTAAAATATAGTTAAGTTTGACTAAAAATAAAATCTTTCATTTTTGTAAAACTGCGCAATAATTATGAGAGGAGGGAGTACATCATTTCATTGCTCATTTCCCAGCCTTTCTTACGAAATAAATAATGCCATCAAATAAACAATTTTATAATTTATTACCATTTTATTTTCTGATACTTCGAAGAATTACTCTATGTAAAAATGACGAAGACCAAGCATTTTTACAAAAAGGTTTTTTTTTTTTTTTTTTCCATATAACTGGTTGGGCGCCTTGATAACTGATTTAAGCCTATAATGAAAGACTAATATGCTTTTTCAGTTGTAGTATACACATTCATTGGTAGCATAAGGACTAAACCACTAAAGCATTGAAAGTATTTTACATCCACGACAAATTTCAAATCCTTGATCTTGTTCCACTTCATCAGAATTCTTTTAGTTTCGTTACGGCAAAAGTTACATAACTATCCCCTGGTTATTATCATTTAATAATCCAAGATCGGCGCGTGGTTTTCACAGGCTTTATAGAATTGTATGGTACAACAAGTCGTTTTTATTTTATCTTTTATACTTTTTTTTTCTTTTTTCTTTGACCATGGAATTATAAACTAGCTTTTATTACAAATTAACTTTTAAATATTAAAAATTGTGTTTGGGAATATTATCTCTGTTTCAAAAAAAATCGATATTGAGTTGTGAGTTTTGTACTACCTTTATCACAAATTCCGAAACTCAATGCGGAATTTTTTTTTTTTTTTTTGAGATAGAGGAAGTAACAATTTCATGAAAGTAAAATTAGAGTGTAATTGTGTGAAATATATACGAAATGAACGCCATATACATAATTTTTACTTGTATAAATTCATATTAAATATTATTAATCTTGATTTTATGGCTTTCAAAAAAATGCAATTAAATACTAGTAGTACTCTACTATATTGGGGAGATAACAAAACGCAATTGGAACCGAAAAAGAAGGGGAAATGCTATTCTTGTAATTATGCAATCAAAATGTAGCATTCTCGGAATAAAGTAGGAATATGACCGTTGGTGCTCAAGGTCAAGGGCGGTCTTCTTATATTGGAAAACTCCTTTCTGTTCATTTTTCAAAGAACCAAAGCAATTGAAAGAAAAACCCACAAGTCTCGAGAGAAAATCAGAATAGAGAATTTCGAAGAGTATCAACGAGCAAAGAGCCCAGAACTTTTTTCTTGTGTAAAGATTCCGAAGAAGGCGAACGAGTCTGTTAATCTTCAGCATTTGAGTAAGTCGTTTCTGAATTCTTTTTTTGTAGACCTATTTTAATCGCTCTTATCTGTTCAATTCTATCATTTTTTTTCATCTAGGGTTTCCCTGAGATTCAATTTTTGATTTTTACGGCCAAATTTGAGTTTGTATTTTCAATCGGGATTCTATGTTTGGTTGAGGTGAATTAGTAATGTCGATTTTACTCAATCTGTTTATGAGCGTTGAACTTTGCTGCCGATCGTTTCTCTGTTTTGTTCTGGTCAAGCGAGTTGCAATTACTCTAGATTTATAAACTATTGTACCAAGAATACCCACTGCTTCATTGATTATTTAATTTGACTTCCGAACTTTCAAGACTATCTTAGGGTTTTGTATGAATTTCTAAGGGGAATCTTATGAGACTGGACAGAATTTTAATCATTCCTCAAGAATATGCTGAAGATCTTCCATGGGTGCCAGTTTGCACCCTGGTGATTGAAAAGATTATCCCTTTTCCTGGATTTTTATTACGACAAATTTTTACCTGTTAATTTAGTGGCTATAGTCCTCTCTCGGTCTATATATTTGTATATTTGTTGAATGATTTTAGTTCTGCCAGAGTGGTCTTGTTAAGAAATCAGTTTCTTTGCTTATTAGTTTGGTCTACGAGGAAGTATCTAGAATGTTAAAGAGAATCCAACAAACTTGAAGTTTCCGTAGAGTCCTGTCCACAAGTTTCCTTCCTCTGTGATAGATTTGTAGAAATAAAATGGAAAGCTAATCTGAATTTATGGCCTCTCTGCGATGAGGTTTCTTACTCCCTCTGTCCCAAAATTATTGTCCAGTTTGAGATTTCACTTTTAGTACAATTTGAACTAGAAATGAAAACCCAAACTGGACAATAATTATGGGACGGAGGGAGTATTTTTTTTGTTTGTGAGCCAAGGATTTGAAGAATTGTTCAGACTAGAATTAGTTCTTTGTATGCTTGTTACCATGTACTGCTAGGATGTCAAAGATTCTTCGTCAAAGAGTGCATAGTTTTGTGGTTTGCATCTCCAGTCTCTTTCTGTGACTTCTGCCTGTCATTGCATATTATCTTCCAGGTTGCTCTGTGATTCTTCGTTTGCTTTCCATCATGTTGAATTGTGCTGCATGTTTCTCGGTCTATCTATAGCTTCATCATGCATTCAGAAACATCGGTATATGCTTCCCATTATTAAGTATTCTTGATCACCTAAAGTTGGAGGAATCTTTCTTAATGTTTATTGTAATTCTTGATCACAACTCAGCAAGATTTGAAAGCAGTGATTCTTATGATTTACCCTTTATATTGGATTTTGACGTGTAGAATATTGCAGAAATTGAACTTGCCAGGTTACTGCTATGGCTACTCCTGCTAGTCGTCTGATTCAAGATCAGAACTTGAACATTCATTCTACTGGTACTTTTGGTGAGTTGTTATGACATATCTTTCAGCATACACTATCTGTAGGTAGATTATTTTGTAGATGTGGAGTTTGATCTTACGGATTGTACAATCTGTAGGAGCACTGGGTGGAAAGGTTGATGTCTCCAAAGCCACAAAAAAAGGAGCACTCGGGGGAAGGAGGGCACTTAATGACATATCAAATTCAGGCAAGCCGTCAGCAACCCAGCCTTCGACAAAAAATAAGTTCATAAATGCTGGTCCAACTGGAAAAGATCTTGGTGCAAATAAAGCATTTTCTTCCAAGAACCAGGAGAAAGGGAAAGCAAGTGGCAGAAAAGCACTCAGTGACCTTACAAATAATGTTAAGCCACCTCCTAAGCTTTTGCCTACAAAGAGTCAAGAGAAAAAGGTTAATGTTGCTGTTGAAGCGAATCTCCTAAGTGCAATTAAGGAGGAGGGGTTTTTGCACAATCATGAAGAGTGCTTGAAAGCACAGAGAAAGACTATGAGCTTTGATTACTTCCTGGAGACAGTTGGACTGAATGGTAACATCTCTGTTTGCTCAGTTTTTGTTTGTTAGCTATTAGCTATACACCTCTTGAGGATTTAGTTTGATAAACTCTTAACATTCTAATCTTTGCAGGATCTTCTCTGGTGATACGAGATCCATGGGAGTTGCAGGTCAGTCCGAACTTTCAAGTTCTTCTCCACAGGCCTTCTATTTCTTTTCGAATAATGTGAACCTTTCACAATTTCATCTATAGATTAGGAAATTGACATAGCTGTCACAATCATGATGTACTAACAAAAAACTCTCTTAAATGCTCAGCCGGAGAGCCCTGTGAAGCACTTGGTAGAAATGGACGACATACCTATGATGCTGAAGGAAGATGAAGTTGATAAGAACTATGAAGCGGGCTTCCTGGATTCGCCTAAGTTTGGTTTAGCATATGACAACTGGAAGGATGAGGACTATCTTGATTTCAAATTGATTGCGTCTCCAAAACATGAGAAGTTCTAAGCTAACCCTCAGCTTTCAGGCTACTAACTTGGTGTAATAACATGTAGGCGTATTGAGTCAATTAATTGACAGGATGGCTATTCTCTCTGTAGGTTCATCTATCAAATAGACTACAGCTTTAGCTTTAAATTGTGGAAAGCATGTTACCTAGCCTCTGTACTAAACCTGAAACTCTTGTTTGCTTTTGTCACATTTTAGTTCTCTTCTGCTTTGTACAATTTCAGTTTCTTGTTGTAGGTGCATCTTTTTTGATGCATGGGTTAAGACTTGTGAGTGAAGTGCTGCTACCAAGAAAGCTTTCTTGGTCCTGTTCATGAATTGTCAATAGTAAACTTTCAGCTTGTATCATTTCTTTCCATTTTGGTTCCAGTATTTTGGTTTTTGTTTGGGTGTAAACTAGTGATCTCTGTGGAAAGTCCGCCAAATGCAAATATGCACACTGCCGGCCCTTTGGGTCTGAGATCCCATTTACTATGGGTCAGATGGCCCTAAAGAATGATACCTTATCATACATGAGTAAAAAGTCCAAAATGAATATATTAAACGATCCAAACCCAACTGCCTCAATGGTCCAACGGTGAGTGGACGATGAACGAAAACTCGTTATCTGCTTAACACCATTCTATACACAGAGACTAAAAGTCACCTAACAGCAGAAAACGGTGGTGATATGGTGGTGGTGATGGGGGCTTTAAGTTTAAGCCTGAGGCTGCCGTCCCCTCTTACATCTATCTTGACCTATTCCGTCAAGTCACCTTTACTACGTTGCCGGAGGAGCCATCACTTCCGGCGGCGGTTCTCTGCTGTGAATTTCTCGGCGCAGAGTACAGCAGCCGAGAAGGACATCTCTCCGGAAGTTGAAGACCAGAAAAAGAGTCGAGTTCTGGACAAGGACAAAGACAGGGCTATAACTCCGCGCTCTCAAGACTTCAACGCCTGGTATTTGGATGTCATTGCCAATGCGGAGCTCGCCGATTACGGCCCAGTTCGCGGCACTATGGTTATTCGTCCCTATGGTTACGCCATTTGGGAAGCTATTCAAGTATGAATCCGCCCATTCTTTTTATGTTATATCCCGTTAAAAAGGCTTCTGGTTTTATTTCCCCCTCAATCTGGTTTTGGATTTCGGTGCAGGATTATTTGAATGTCAAGTTTAAGGAGACTGGTCATAGTAATATGTATTTTCCCCAGGTACCTCAATATGATTGCTCTTGTTATTTAATTCTTAAGCAAATAATTGATCAGTTATTGAGGATGATAATTTTGCCCCTTACATTTTGGTGCAATTTTCATTTTCAAAGTTTGATTTCGAGAATAAACGCTCCTACGATCTTAGTTCCAACCTCTTAGTTTACTTGCCGAGGATTTTGTTTCCCCACTGTTTTCCATCTTTTAAGTTCTCTGACATCTTCTTATATCATGTTCAGTTCATACCATACTCTTTCATTGAGAAAGAAGCCTCTCATGTAGAAGGATTTAGTCCTGAATTGGCTCTTGTTACAATTGGAGGTGGAAAAGAGCTTGAGGAAAAGCTTGTGGTAAATATGCTTTTTAGTTTATTAAATTTTATTGCCATTGTAGTCATGGACTAGTGTATAAGAATAGGTTCACTTGAAGTTTGAAATAGCTCCTGAGTGTTGCTTTTGATTGTTCCACTTTTATGAGGTTCTGGCAGGTTCGACCTACAAGTGAAACAATTGTCAATCATATGTTCACTCAGTGGATTCATAGTTACCGTGACCTTCCCCTCATGATCAACCAGGTTGGTGTTCTGCCCCTCTAGTTGATTATTGCCTTCTTTTAGGTGCGATTAGTAGTGACATGCTTCTTTTCTCTTCTTTTTCTTTTTTCAAGTGGGCAAATGTTACGAGATGGGAAATGCGTACTAAACCATTTATTAGGACTCTTGAATTCCTATGGCAAGAGGGTCACACTGCACACAGCACATTAGAGGAGGCAGAAAAGGAGGTATCTTTCTTATCTCTCAGATAGGTTCTCATATCTTTCTCAATTGTGGACTTTTATTAACATATTGACGCTGCAACTGAACTGCAGGCTTTACAGATGATTGATGTCTACACAAAATTTGCTTATGAGCAAGCAGCCATACCTGTCATTGCAGGTCGGAAGTCAAGGGTCGAAACATTTGCCGGTGCTTCCCGAACTTACACAATAGAGGCAATGATGGGTGACAGGAAGGCTTTGCAGGCTGGAACAAGTCATAATCTTGGGCAGAATTTTTCCAAGGCATTTGGCACTCAGGTGATTGATAACTTCTGTTGCTACTTGTTTGCAGTTTATCTTATATTGTTTGTGTTCTCATCTTTGTTATTGCTTCATATATCCAAGGCTTGTAAATTCATTCTGAAACTAGGCTCTGTTTGATGCATATTAGACATTTAATCCTAAATCACTTAGTGGTGCAAACTTGGAAGCACAATTTGGCAAGAAGTTGGAATTCTCAATAACTTGCTTTGTTCATTAGTTAGATTTTTAGGGAAAGATTTCAGAGCCTAAAATAGCTTTTCAAGCCACTTAACCAACAAACTTTCAGTAATGATTTCCATTCCAAATTGGAACCATGGGCACCATGGCTATTTTTGAGTAGATGATGTAGGTTGCAGGTTAAGGACAAATTATCCTTTCATTCTGACACTAGCTTTTGTTGTAATCTAATGGCTCAGGGTTTTCTCTGTAGGTTAATTAAGAAGTAGAAATGGGGTCATGTCTTGATATTAGTGAAGAAACTAGATGGTAATCATGTTTTTGTGGAAGGAATATTTAATTACTCTTCTCTCTTTTGTTACTCTTCTGAATCATGCTTACAGTTCACAGATGAAAATGGTGAAAGGCAACATGTATGGCAGACATCTTGGGCTATCAGTACAAGGTTTGTTGGAGGTATCATCATGACCCATGGGGATGACACTGGCTTAATGCTTCCTCCTAAGCTGGCTCCTGTTCAGGTGAGTTTTCATTCTCTCTCCCCCCAAGCTAATGTTTTTATTTTACATGGCCTCCCTGAAGGTTTTACTCCAATATGGTTGCATTTGCTTTGCAACTTGTGAAAACTTAAAGTGATTCTAAGTGCCATTTGTGTTCCCAAACTATAAGGGTCCATGAAGTGTTTCCTATATCAATTTGTGGAAGTGTCTAAACATTTTATGTTTCTTACTCTAAAGCCTAAGCTAGATTCATCGTGCATAAAATTAGTTTCTTTTGAACAATCGGGTTTGTTAGTTGGTCGTTTCACTGCAATTATCTTTTTATAGAGAGGGTCGAGGAGGAAAATGCATTATGCTAAAAGAACTAGATTTGATGGTTAGATTGGTTTAACTAGGGTAAAACAAAGAAGCTGTTAGTTGCTTTAATTTAGGAAAAAAAAAAAAAGCTGTTAGTTGTTCCTATTTTGATCACAAAACTGCGGAAGCAAATTTTGCATCATCTTTTATTATGCTATATCTTTTACAACTTGCTATATGGCACCAATGTTGGAGTGATCAGTGCCTAGAGCCAGCACATAGCTGGTACCACGGACCGGCATTTTTTATGCAGTTTCAGTACATAGTCATTTTAAGTAGGTTATATCTCTCTAGATGAAATAATGCTTTACATAATGCTATCAGGTTATAATTGTCCCAATATGGAAGAAAGTGGAGGAGAGAACTCAGGTTCTTGATGCTACATCTTCAGTTAAGGAAACTCTGCGAACTGCTGGAATAAGGGTCAAGATTGATGATTCTGATCAGAGGACACCTGGATGGAAATACAATTTCTGGGAAATGAAGGTTTTAATGATTTCTCAGCTTGTGTTGACATGTGAAATTTGAAAATTGCCAATTGTCAACTTTTTCTTATCTTTTACCGTACCCAGCTGTGCTTCTGAAAATTACCTTTTTTTCGCTAGGGAGTTCCTGTAAGAATTGAGATTGGCCCTCGTGATGTTTCAAGTGGCACTGTTGTCATCTCTAGAAGGGATGTTCCTGGAAAACAAGGAAAAGTGTTTGGAATATCTATGGATCCCTCTACATTGGTTGTTTATGTCAAGGACTTGATGGATGAAATTCAGAATTCTTTGCTGGGAGCTGCAATAGCATTTCGTGATAGGTAGGTTAATTTGCATTTAGTCTTCTGATACATAGTATGGTATTTATTTTTCTGGGATGTCCTGGGGAAGAACAGTGTTCTTGTGGGGGGTGGAGGGTGGGAAATGATTTTGGAAATTTAGGCATTTAGCTTTGAGGTTAAAATGAGAACATTTCGTTAACCAAAAAAAAAAAAAATGAGAACATTTCTTTTTGTTGGCAAAAGCTGTAGAAATATCAATCATGGCTGGTTGTAGGTGCAGTTTTTCTTGGTGTTTGAATTATTTTTTCCCTATGCCTTGTCAGAACCCCTGTGCATTGACTTCCTGGCTGCTCACATAAATTTTGCTGATTTAGTTGTCTTCTTGTCTAGTAACATTGTCGATGTCAGCTCTTATGATGAGCTAAAAGAAGCCATAGCTCAAGGCAAGTGGGCAAGAGGTCCTTGGTCAGCTAGGTAAGTCTTTCAATGAATTCTTTTAATTAGCTTCCCAATCATGTTGCTTCCGTACTCTTTTGTGACTCTCTGCTTGACACATTATTGTTCAGGGATGAAGATGAATTAAAGGTGAAAGAAGAGACGGGAGCAACCATCAGATGTTTCCCTTTTGAACAGCCCCCAGGAACAAAATCATGCTTGATGACAGGCAAACCAGCAGAAGAAGTTGCGATATTTGCCAAGTCTTACTAGTAGGAAGGTGCTTCACGTACGTATCTTTCATCAGTCCCAATTTCCAGGGCTATGTTATCCTTCAAGCTTGTACCCTTGTGCCATTTTATACTTTGATGGTCCCGTGTGTTACATTCCTCTGGAAGCGTCAACCAAAAGCCTAAAGGAGTACGGCTAGAGATGTACATTTCCACATAGATTTGAAGCTCAAATTGCTGTCAAGTGTCAATGCATGCTTCTCTCTAGAAAGCCCTGACACAGAGAAGCCTGTGATATCCTTTGATGCTTTCAGAGGCGGTGGCGCGACGGTTCTTTTGGTACCTTTCACGGGAAGGAAGGGGAGAACTGGAGAAGGCTTGTACCTCTTTTTTTTTTCTTTTCTTTTGAAGTGGCTCTTTTATTTTCTACTTATTCTGACTCGATGAACTGAATTTTTGTAATACTTGGAATACGGTTTTGAAATAGATGAGATGTGAAATCAAAATAGAGTTGACGTACACGAAATCTTTTGGCTAAATCTGGACAGAAGCAAAATCTAAAATGAGAAGGAATATTTGACTCTTTTAAGGGAGTGGTTTGTCGGGTTGCGCCTCCAGGGAAGGAAGATCTGGTGGTCTGATCGGAGCTGATGCCTCCTACTCCAGTTTGTCCCTGCTGGGTTAGGCCCATGCTGTTTTTCGCATTATTCTAATTTAATGCATTTAGTAATGATTATTGTAATAATTAATTTATGGTAATAAAATTTGGGTTCTGTCCGTGGATCTAAAGCAACGCGGGAGAATGACTAACGAGCCAAGAAAGGCAAGTGGAAATACAGCACCAAAAAAGCAATCCCAGTCCCACCACCCACTTTATTCCTTTTCCTTATTTTCTTCTCTTCATTATTCTTCCACTTTCCCTAACCCTAATACATTAAACCCGATTTTAAGTTCGAGTTTAGTATTGTCAACGTACAGAATTAGTATATGTAGTCTGTAAAGATTATAGTTCTGTGGCGATTTAGAGCGTGATTTGTGATTAATGCTTTTAAACTTGTACGATAGTAGCATTCACAAAACTAATAATTATTTTAAATTCTGTAATAATAATAATTCTTCGAGTTTAGAAAATATTTTGAATTTAAATGGCTAGCCACTGGATAGGCTAAACTGCACCCGTAATTCAAAATGTATTTATTTATTTTAAAAGTCTAACATCTTAAATTTTGGAGTCAGGATAAGAATAAGTCAAAAGGGTTGTCACTTTCATACTATGCGGTTGACTATTAAAATCTTGCTATATCTAGCATGATTTGCCCATACCTTCATAACAGTAATTCAAATAAACAAAATTCAAACATTTCTTCTATCTTATTGACTTCAAATGTGGATTAGTTTGTTCATGGAGATTCGAATTATTAAGAAACGAATCCTATTAATTGTACCATTTGATACAAAATATATAGATTTTTTTTTTTATTTACAAAATATATACTCCTTCTGTTCCAAAATTATTGTCCACTTTGAAATTTCACTTTTAGTACAATTTGAACTAGAAATAAAAATTTAAACTGGACAATAATTATGGGGCGGAGGGGGTAGAATTTTTTTTTTCTCTTCAGCTTAAAATATAGACTTAGGTACACTACTGCACTTATATTGACTTTTTGTAATGTTTCATTGTTACAATGACGTTGGCGCTGTATCAAACAAGAGAACAAAAATAAAATAAAAACTAAATGAAATAAAAGAATACAAGTTGTATGGGCAATATAATGCCTTCTATCATAATCTAGCCATTGCCACACATTTCTCATCTCTCTACCTCATCTTGCTCCAAATTTTCTAGTGTTTTCTTTACTGATTTTTCTTTTTCCAAAACTTAACTACATTTTGTAACTATTTTCTTAAACTGTCGCTTATATGACAGTCATTTATTAATAATTTATAGTCAAACAGTATTTAATAATTTAGAACACGAGTTCCAAAGATTCAAAATTTTCGAACTTATCATTTTAGTCATTGGCGCCATAAACTCTTCATTTCTTACTCCCATCTCAAAACTAATTGGCAATAAGTGAGGTAGTTTTTGACAAGATAATACACTTTAATATCCTCCCTCCCTCCTTCCCTCAAAGTTTAATGGGTCTTTTGAATTTTTTGCCAATGGACTTTGTCGAGGGTAAATCCCGGGGGCGGAGAGTTAACAGTCCGACTAGACAGGAACCTGCAAGACGGAGGTTAGCACTCCGAAGATTAAGTCAGTTCTAGGGAGAGAAGCAGGTAATTATCACACTTAGAAAGAGAAACGAGAGTGTGGAATGGAATTAGCAATAAATGAGCAAGGAGTATTTATAGGTCCCAATGGGACAATACCTGTGGGCCCCCGTGTCGGGAGGGGCAAAAACGTAAATAAACATGTATTTATTCTTTGTAACCCGGCTGGACCTTTAAGAAGGAATAAATGGGCCTTTTGGGCTTACAAGATAAGCCCAAGCCGGATGGCCAGTTGGGCCGGTCAAGATGGGTCAGAGTTGACCCCCAACAATAGATCAGGACAACAACATTTTTTGCCAATAGACTTGGATCAGGACAACAACAGAATAGCCCACGAGTCAAAGCTCAAGAGGGAGAAATCCAGTTGTACCGCTGGGTCAACAACAAGCCCACGAGTCAATGCTCAAGCGGGAGAAAAGCCAATTATACCGCTGGATCAGTCCACAATAAACCTATGAGTCATCGCTCAAGTGGGAGAATATAAAATCACCACAGGCTACCTCCGAACCTGAACATCACCACAAGTCCTGACCGCTCTGATATATGTCAAAGTATATAAGTACCTTGTACTCCCATCTCAAAACCAATTGGCAATGACTGGGGTGACCTTTAACACTTAAATACAGAGTCACTTCTCTTCACAGTGGCAATGTGGGACAAGATAATACACCTTAACAATGTTCGTTGATTTATCCAACAAATTGTTTGTGCTAAAAAAATCACCTTCAATTATGGGAAAGAATGGTGGAAAGAAAAGAAAGCGTAAAACACTTGCAAACATAAAAATATGAGACGATTGTGGATGAGTTCGAAAACAAGCCTCGTATTCGGAATCGAGGACTTACGGACTACTTTGGTTTTTAAAAGAATAAAAAGAAAGATAAAAATGAAAGATAAAAGTGGAACAAACCAAGTGGCTCGATTTATATATATAATACGGGAAAGAGCCTTAGCGCCGACAAGGAATAATTCATCTCGTCGATTGCACACTATTACAGAGAAGAGAGATTACAAGAGATTCGATTTCTCTGAGTAGAAATCGATAACATACTACCTAATTCGAATAGGCAAATAATTATCTATTTAGGCTAGTTTTATGAAAACATGATAATAAAAGACATAAAAAGGACAAGGAAAATAGAGATAAAAGGAGGCGTCGGCCTTATAGGATTTGATGATGATTGAGATGTGTGTTGTGTAGCGCGGCTGCCTTGCTTATATAGGGAAGAGTTGGCCGTGGCCTTTCTTGGAGCAAAAGCTAGGTTAATCTTCCTATTAAATAGGAGAATTCGGCCAAAACATGCAAAGAGGAAGCTCATATGCACCACACTTCCACCTTGAGTAGAAAACTAATTGATTAATTAATCTAATCAATTAACTATGCGTGGGAAGCTTCCAAAAACCAATCCAAACAAATCAGATGCCTTAATTAACATAACTTGGTCCTAAATCATCTCATGCAGCAACACAAGTCAAATTCCGATTCGGTGTAGTCCTCCCGATTAACCAAATAATTCCAATCCAAGTATGAATATAATTAGTCTTCAAATATAATCTCTTAATTATAGGAAGTATCCCATAATTAATAATATCAAACCGGAATTCTTATTCTCATATTATATTCCTCTGAATTCATATTATTGCCCCACCGGTCGGCGGCCAGGACAACCTTGTCGACAAAATCAAAATATATTTTAGTGGTAACACGAATACAGCTCTAATTCTTCCTCATAATCACCACCGTTCTACTACTAAACTCACAATATTTCATCATCTAATCCAACACTTACTTTTATTTTTAAGTTTCTAGCTAGTACCACTGATGAGAGGATGTAACTTTTATGTTCAAAAGTTATTAAATTGCCTAGTCCGCGAGCATATTAAATCGTGACAAAATAGGAATGACTGCTTGCCTATTCTTGAAATTACACATATATGTACTACGTAATTTCCATTAAAAAATAACTCTTGCATATAATTATTATTATGCCAGGAAATATGATATAATTTTATTCAACTCCAGGAAAGGTCATACTTTTATGGGGATTATTAACATAAAGGTCAAGAAATGAGGAAGTTTTTAGTTATTTACTTTTATAATTGACACGCATTATTTCAATGATGTAATAATTCTATGTTAAATTTATCGATTTAGCTCTCTTATAAGTTTTAGCACGTACGTATAAGATTGAATGTTAGCATTCCCTTGAAATATGTTGGCTAACACAATATTAATCAGAAAGAAACATAATAAATTATGATTCGAAAGCTAATAAAAGTAAGTTTGCCTCACAAGTTATGAACATTTAAGTAACGTGTGAAATGGGGTGGGAGAGATAAGGTGGTTAAGGAATTAGAATGGAGGATGATTTTTACTAGGAAGTTGAGGGTTTGATTTTCGCTGGGCCATCTATTTTTAAATTAGAAAAAAAAATAATAACGTGTCAAATTTTGACACACCAATTAATTAGGACGTTCGAAGGGGTTAAGATCTTTAAACTAGCTTGTTATTTGGTCTACAAGTCACGTATAACGTGGGTCAAAGTTTGATAATAAGAGTTCATCATATCTATCTTGTCGATTGTTTTGCAAAAATCACCCAAAAAAGAGAACCTTTAGATCACAATTAATTGGGGCACAATATGTGCGACAACAATATTAAAAGCTCCAAACTTACGAGCAGTTAAGTAAATTGATGTGTAGTTAGGTAGTCATGTGTATCCACATTTGAAGTTTTGAGACTTTTGTGACTACTTATTTACCGTA